CGGTGGCGGGCGGGACCAGCCTCCTGGGCCTCGGCGTGGGCGGTGCCGCCGCCGCTGCCGCCACCACCTTCGTTCCCTCGGCCTTGGCCGCCGCTGCCCGGGGGAGAGTACAGGCCATCGCCGGCAATCGGGCAGCCCAGCGCGAGGCAGTGCATGCGAAGCTGGTGCCGCCGGCCGGTCTCTGGGCGCAGCACGAGCCGACTCGCGTGCGGCGTGCTGCGCTCGACGGCCCACTCGGTGACCGCGGGCTTGCCGGACGCGCCAAAGTCGACGCGCTGCCGTGGCCTGCGGTCGGGGTCGCTCGACAGCGGAAGGCGAACCGTGCCGAGCCTCGCGGGAGGAGCGCCCACGACGTCCGCCACGTACGACTTGCGCACCGTCCGCGACGCAAACTGCATCGAGAGCGAGCGCATGGCCTCGCTGCCGAGGGCTAGCACGAGGAGGCCAGACGTCTCCCAGTCGAGCCGGTGCGGGATCCGCACGTCAGCATCCGCGCCGAGGAGCGCCTCGACGCGAGCGCGCACCGAGTCCTTGATGCGCTCTGTGTTCTCCGTCGGCAGGTAGGCTGGCTTCTCGACGACCACACAGTGTTCGTCGCGGTGCACAACGCACAGAGGGCCGGTGGGCGGAACCAGCTCCGGCTCGGAAGTGTAGGCTGGCGCGTCGGACCATGCGATGCTATGGAGCTCGCCGTCGCCGCTGCGCAGCGCGGCGCCCGGCGGTACGGCGGTGACGATCATCGGACCTTGAGGGGTGTGATGATGACTCTGTGCGATTTCGCGCCGGTGTTAAGTGGCCTGGCGTGGAGAAGGCGCAGCAGTCCAAGCGCGAGAAAGCAAATAAAAAACAAGACGCAGAGAGAAGGATCGGGCCGAGTTCGCACCTTCGTCCTCTCCGCGTGGGCGTGGCCGGAATCTGGAGGCTTGGCGAGCCGTGCGTGCTCAGCCTGCCCCAGTGTAGGAATCCTGTATGAACCGCTCCCAATCGCCCCCGACGCACGAGTTGGAAGGCGAGGCGGCGACGTTCGACATCTTTGTGCAGAGTGTCGACCTCCGCTGGTGCCTGCTGCTCCACTGCGACTTTGCGTCCCTCGCGGCGGTGCGGCAGCTCGCCTCTCCCTTCACGGCGGATGTGCCACTTGTCCTCTCGAGCGAGCACTGGTGCGCGTCCGCCAGCAACCGCACGGCGCTGCACGCCGCGCAGTGGGCCGCCGGCGGCGACACCCTGCACGTGGCCTTGAGCCAGCCGCTCGGACAGACCGTCGTGTCGCTGCGCTGCTCGACTGCCGGCGAGCGGGAGCTCGCGCTCGCAGGCGGAGCCGAGGTGGACGAGGAGGGCGAGGCGGGCGGCGACCTCGTGATGGTGGTGCTGCATCCGATCGGTCACGAGAGCCGGCTGACCGCGGCTCAACTCGGCGACATGGCGCCGTCGCTCGCCCAGTTTCTGCATGAGCCGCTCACGCGCACGACGACGGAGGTCGAGGGCCCGACGCACAACCAGGCGGTCAAGAGCGTCTCGGCGGCTCCGGACGCCATCGTCCGCGCCGACCGGCCAGACGCGGCGCCGCCGCCCGCCCGCGGTCTGCGCGCGCGCCGATCGCGCCACCTCGTCGCGAGCGGCGGCCTCGACGGCGCGCCTCTCCCCGCCTCGGCACCGGCACACTCACGAGCG